TGCGCCATCCCCTCCGCCGTGCGCTTCCCCGGCGTCGCCATCCACCTGGCGGAGCCGCGCATGGGCCGCACCCGCCGGGCTTTCCTCGCTCGCCTGGCGCTGTCCAAGGGCTTCCGCGTGATGGACGCCTACAGGTGCGTCGTCGTGCGGCGCTGCCTACCTGGGGGCGGAGCTGCGTGCCTGGGGGCGGGGCGCCCACCTGGGGGCGGAGCTGCGTGCCTGGGGGCGGTGCCACCTACCTGGGGGCGGGGCGCCCACCTGAGGGCGGAGCTGCGTGCCTGGGGGCGGTGCCGCCTACCTGAGGGCGGAGCTGCGTGCCTGGGGCGGGGCGCCCACCTGGGGGCGGAGCTGCGTGTCTGGGGGCGGGGCAGCTTACTGTGCGCTGGGCACTGTCCAGCGCTTTTCCTCCTTAGCTCACGTAATCGTTACCACACCCTACAAGGGAGACACCTTATCTCTGCTTTACAGGGGAGGAAATCAAAGCACAGAGAAATAGTGAGGTGCCCAGGACACAGCAGGTGTGTGGCAGAGCTCAGGGCCAAACCCAAGCTGTCTGGCTCAGCACTTAGATGATCCTCTGAGGACCCCCCTTCTTTGGGGTGGGGGTGAGAAAGGAGGCAGAACAACACAAAATCCCGCTGGGCTTGTGGTGGTAGCTAGAGCAGAGGACCACGGCTCTTGGGCGCAGGAGGGGTTCCAGGAGAAGAGCTGGCAGGTCTCTCTGAGAAGGTGACATTTGAAGAATGAACAGTGTTCACCAAGCAGAGCAAACTTGCAGGTGTGGAGTGAAGCAGAGAGGAGGGCAGGGCCTGGTGAGGGCTCTGGGCCTCACCGCTCCCCCTTTCCAGCTCCGAGGTGACACACGTGGTGATGGAACAGACTTCACCAGAGGAGGCCATCTGCTGGCTGGAGAGCAGGGCGGCCCCTCCCCCAGGTTGCAACCGCCCAGTGCTGCTGGACATCAGCTGGTTCACAGAGAGCATGGCAGCTGGGCAGCCGGTCCCTGTGGAGGCCCGGCACCACCTGGAGGTGAGCTGGGTAGAGGATTAGTGTTGGGCGACAGAGAAAGGCCCAGTGTGAGTGGTAGCTCAGCTGGGACAAGTCACAGGCAGCTGTGTCCAGATGGGGAGGGCAGTGAGGGCTCTGTCCTGATTGCCACAACAGGCCATCCCACCTTCTCCTCTCACTGTTGCTGCAAACTCTCTTGGGGCCCACTTGTCTTTAGCATCTTTAGGCCTTTTCTTGTTCACCAAGTAGATGACTGTGACCTTAAGTGAGATGACCCGAGGGCCAGCAGGAGGCCTCTGCCCTGCCTCCGTGGTTCCTGGGTGAGCAGAGCTGGGGGAAGCAGGCGTGGTCTCGGAGCTGGGCTGTCCACGTTCAGATTCTGGCTCTGCTTGTGAGCCGTGAGGCCTCAGGGTCCCTGTCTGAGGTGGGGATGGCAGTGTGGCACAGCAGCATGTGCATTGGCCAGAAAAGTGCCCCCTGAGGGTAGCAGGTGGTGTCATAGCAGCCCCTCTGGCCTGAAGAGCTATCATGGGCTTGTTCTGTAGGGCAGTACCACCTCTGCTCCAGGCCTCCAGGAGTCTTGTCCCCTCAGGGTCAGCTCCTTCTGTCCTGTGTGCCCAAGAGCCCTAGGTGACCGCCTAGGAGAGGCAAGGCTTTGGGAGCTGCCAGCCCTGCAGCCTCCAAGTGGCCTGTTCATTGCTCATCCCTAGGTGGCTGTGCCCAGGAAGGGGTTGCCAAGCCCAGTGTGGATGCCACCCTATGCCTGCCAGCGTCCCACACCTCTCACACACCATAACACCATCCTCTCGGTGAGCCATCCGACCCTGGCCTCCCTGAGCTGGGGCCAGGCCTGCCCCTGTGAGCACTCCTCACTCTGCTGTGTCCAAGCCTTGGGGACAGATGGGTCGAAGCTGGAGGGTTGGGTGAGGCTCCCCTACCACCCTGCCCTCACGAGGGCCCCTCCCTGCAGGAGGCGCTGGAGATGCTGGCAGAGGCAGCAGGCTTTGAAGGCAGCGAGGGCCGCCTCCTCTCCTTCTGCAGAGCAGCCTCCGTGCTCAAGGCGCTGCCTGGCCCCATCACATACCTGAGCCAGCTGGAGGGCCTGCCCCACTTTGGAGAACATTCCTGCAGGGTCATCCAGGTAGGTGCTCACCACACTTAGCAAGGTGGAGTTGTGAACTCAAGTGGGTGTCAAGGAGGCCGGAGCCTGGTGACATCAGGTGGCTCTGTAGTTCAGCCCAGCTGGGGAGGAGGCTGCAGGCTCCCTGCTGGGCATGCCACCCTCCATCCGCATGCCTCATGTAAATTAGGGCCACAGCACCTGCTCCATAGTGGCTGAGGGGACTCAGGGGCTGCAGGGTTGGTAGCTGGCACTGTTGGCATCGGCCCACACTGTCCAGGATGTGGCAGAGCAGCCTGAGTGTGAGCAACCCTTTTAAGTACAGAGTATTTGAGGAAAGTCATGCTTTTGTATGCATCACTGGGAGAGGACATCGTGACAAAAGATTCTTTTGAATTCAGTTATGCTTTTAAATGAAGTTGCATTGAATTCATCACCTATGTTTTGCAAAGTAATTGTTTACATATACTGGGGCTTATTGGAGGGATGAGGACAGACGCTTTGGGGCACAGCCTCTGTTTGCAAGTCCCTCAGGTCCTTAGAACTGCAGAGCCCCCTGCTGAGTGTGGGGTCTGCTGGTCCTTGGCTCCCAGCTGTGCTCTGCTTTGTGGTCAGGCTGGGCTTTGCTTTGTCTTGGCTACAGGAGCTGCTGGAGCATGGAGTGTGTGAGGAGGTGGAGAAAGTCCGACTCTCAGAGAGGTACCAGAGCATGAAGGTACACACAGGGCAGACCCCAGCCAGGGCACGTGGCCCCTCAGTCCTCCCCAGAATGACCCGCCCAAGGGCCAGAGGAGGTCTCTGAGGAAGTGGCAGCTGACATCTGATTTGCATGAGGCAGCCAAACAGACCACAGGAAGAAGCTTATTTTGAGCACAGGAATGTTCTAGATCACTCAGCACTACTGTCCTTGTTGGACTGTTGATGGATAGTCTCTACCCCAGTACGTTACCTGCTCTGTCATCTTCAGCAGAGCCTCTGAACAAACGTGCCACGGGGACGAGTGAGTGCGGCTGCTAACCGTGCGCTCTCTCTGTCCTGAGCTCAGCTCCCATTTCTTGGTGTGTCCCACCTGCATCCACAGTGCGCCTTTCCTCTGCCCCCTCACCTCTGGTCTGATGTGGAGCTGCTGGTGCCCCAGTGCCCTGTCCTGCTGCTTGGACACCCTTGTTTTGGGGCCAGACGTTGTCAGATGGGTGACCTGTGGGAATGGGGCTTCCCTGGCCTGGGGTGAAACTGCCCTGGGGGGTTGCCCAGATGTGAGGATCAAGGGGGCCTCCAGGAGGGGGAGGAGCCACATGTGAAGGATGGAGGGGCTCAGGTGGGTGGAGAAAGGGGTGTGGGGGGACCCAGGAGCTAGTGACTGGGGAAGTGTGGACAGAGGACAGAGCCGTCTGCCTCCTTGTGGGCACCCCCAGTCCCAGGAGGCATCTGAGCCTGCAGGGAAGTACGTTGATAGTTATTTTTATAGACTATGAGTAGGTTATTCTTGGCAACTTTCTGAGAGGATTCTGTTGGTGACAGTGCCCCAGCTCATGCTGTTGGTTAAGAGGATCAAGGAGAGGATGGTCCACAGCCTAAGAGGGCAGGTGCAGCGGGTCCACAGGAAGCAGGGCTGGGGACGTCCTCTACCCTCTGCTGCCTCCACTGGTCAGGTGTGGCCACAGAAGGTGCTCCTGCCACATGTTACAGCCGCCACCAGTGCATGGGCCTTACCTGTTTTAGTTCCAGAAATTCCCCGGGAGGGGCTCTGAGTGGCTGGCCTAGGGCAAGTGCCTATGCCCAACCACCGAGCTATAAGAGACAGGTGACTTGCTTGGGCTGGAGTCAAGGAGACCCGTGGGAGACAGGCAGCCACTCCATGAGGGGCCAGCTCCAGTCGGGTCATCCCCACTGGCCTGGATGTCTGCTGACCGATGGCTGGGCACCAGGGCTGCATTTCCTCCAGCTCCCTCTACATCCCACAGCCTGTTGTGTTTGTGTTTGTTAAGGAGAAATGTGGTCATGAGTTTCAGCCGCTGCAAGGTGATGAGTGATGCTGTGCAAGTTCTGGGAAGAGACCTCTCCTAGCGGAGGGGACTCGGGCCCCTGACAGCCTGCACCCACCCTCCCAACAGCTCTTCACCCAGATATTTGGGGTCGGAGTAAGGACTGCTGACCGGTGGTACCGGGAAGGGTTGCGGACACTGGATGACGTCCAGAAGCAGGTGCAGAGACTGACCCAGCAGCAGAAAGCAGGTGACCCTCAGAGAGGCCGCACCTTGGGCTCCCCCAAAGCACTGAGGCCTGAGAGTTCCCCACACTTAGTGCCAAGGCTGCCTGGGTGGGTTTCAGAGCAGAGGGACCAGCGGTAGGCAGGCATCTTTGGTGGGCTTCCTGAGGTCCCCACCAGGTGGAGTAAAGGTCCATGGCAGTCTTGTCTCAGTGGACAGTGATGGGCACAGTAGCTAATGTGATATTCGGGACCCCCTGGTTAGACTTGGACTGCACCAGGCCCGGGCCTCTTACTCCCCAGCAGCCTGGGCCCTGGACCCACCTGGCTAGTGTGGGGCTGGGCACTCTGGCCCACTGACCGATGGTGAGGGTCCTGTGCGGTAGGGAGGACGTGAGCTTGAGAGTTGGTTAGGCCTGGGCTTGAGTCTGGTCCCATTTACCAGGTAGGTGACCGTGGCCCTGAGATGGGGGCTCTCTGAGCTGCAGTGATGTTCTCTGGGAAGGGGGGTCCCGCGAGTGTCTGTGGCCTGGTGGGTGGGAGCCCTGCTGAAAGAGCCAGTAGTACAGCACCTGCCACCCCTTTGAACATCTTCCCAGGGGCTGGGGGGCTCCTGGGGATCCTAGGAGACTTGCCTGGTTTGTCGGGTAGGAAGTGAGAACACAGAGCTGTGCCCAGTGCGGCAGTATGTGCTCGCACCCACGGGTCCCAAAGCCAGATCGGCCAGCAGCACTCCCAGTGGCTGCCACGTGCTGTCCTTCGCACTCAGGCCTCTCCCCGTGTGTGGAGGGTGCGGTGATTCCTGACAGGCGAGGACGGGCACTGGGGGCAGTGGTGCATGTTCCTAAGTGGTGGAGTCTCTTCTGTCCTTTATCAGCTCCTGGCCCCTTGTCACCACTGAAGACGAGGCTGTGGCAGTGTCAGCACACGGTGGTCTGAGAACTAAGGGTGGGGAGCTAGGTGGAGGGCACAGGGACCTCTGTTATTTCTTTTAACTGTACGTGAATCTACAATTATTTCTAAATAAAAACTTAATATTTAAAAGGGAGGAGAGGTAGTAGAGAAAGAGGGCAGGTGGGCTGGGTCAGGAGAGCATGTTGCCCACAGGACTCCAGCACTACCAGGACCTGAGCACCCCCGTCCAGCGGTCTGATGCGGAGGCCCTGCAGCAGGTGGTGGAGGCTGCTGTGGGGCACACCCTGCCTGGGGCTACCGTCACGCTGGCTGGCGGCTTCCGGAGGTAAGGGGCCCCGTGTGCACCCTGGCTCAGCTCCCAGGTGGGCTGCTGAGGCGGCTGTCCCATATTGAGGGGTCTTGGGAGAACAGGGAGACCCTGTCCGTGGGCTAGCCTGGAAGTCAGACTTGCCCCTCAGGGGGAAGTTACAGGGCCACGACGTGGACTTCCTCATCACCCACCCCCAGGAGGGCCAGGAGGCGGGGCTGCTGCCCAGAGTGATGAGCTACCTGAAGCAGCAGGTGAGAGCTTCCTGCTGCCCCTCCTGAGGGTGCTACTGGGTCCCACTCTCCCAGCTGCATGGACAGTGGGTCACACCTGCCCCCGCCCCCCAGGGCCTTGTCCTGTACCACCAGCATCAGCACCAGCATCAGCATGGCCACAGCGGAGACCCCACCCACCTGCCCCCACGGAGCCACACCATGGACACCTTTGAGCGGAGTTTCTGCATTTTCCGCCTGCCCAGACCCCCAGGGGCTGCTGTGGGGGGGACCCAGAGGCCCTGCCCCTCCTGGAAGGCTGTGCGTGTGGACCTGGTGGTCGCCCCCATCAGTCAGTTCCCCTTTGCCCTGCTTGGCTGGACTGGCTCCAAGGTAGGCAGTAAGCTGTTGGGGCCACCTGGGACTGTGCTGTGGCCCTGCTAACACCCTGCTTTCCCCCCAGCATTTTGAGCGGGAGCTTCGCCGATTCAGCCGGAAGGAGAGGGGTCTGTGGCTGAACAGCCATGGTCTGTTTGATCCGGAGCAGGTGTGTTGCCAGGGCAGGAGGCAGGGAGCCCGGGACCCACAGACAGGGTTCTGAGGGGCACCCTACCCTGGGCTGGGCTCTCCCCGCCTTTCTTAGGGAAGCTTCCATGGTGGAGGGGTTCCAGACACCAAGGCCCACACTCCTGTTCCAGAAGGCGGTGTTCCAAGTGGCTGCAGAGGAAGACATCTTCAGGCACCTGGGCCTCACGTACCTTCCCCCAGAGCAGAGAAATGCCTGACCCCCTCTGCCAGCCCCACTGACACTCTGGGAATGGGGGGCTGCTCAGCCCACCAGACCCATGGATGCCCTTGGACACTGACCATCTGCAGGCAGAAGAGGCTGCCCCAGCCCTCACCCTCCTGGGGGAGCCCCTTGTATGCATCCCCACTCCCCGATGCATACCCTACCTGAGACTTAATGTAATGAGAACATGGAGCAGACCAGGCTGTCTTCTGAAAGTTGCTGTGCAGGGCTGGAGCACCTGGCTCCCATTTGCTGTCGGTGAGGTGGGGGCATCATGGCTGTGTGACCCTGGGGTTCTGCAGGGTGAGCTTGGCATCTGGAGAGGGAGCAGGCCCAGAGGGAGGGCACTGGGAGGAAGAGAACCTTCCATGCTGACCCACTACCTCCTGCCTTGTTAGCCCCACCTCCCAACCTGGGTGCCTGTCTCTACCTTTGCTCCTGTAACGTCTGTTCAAAGCATCCTTTTAAAAGTAGGCCCAGGTCCTGTGGGGTCACTCCTTGCTCAGAGCCCCCCAGCAGCTTTCCACCTCCCTCAGCAACTGCCAAGTCCTCGTAGGGTCAGCATGGCAGTTTCTACAAGGACATCACCTGGGGCTGTGATAGAGATCAGTCCAGGAGTGTTGCCGTGGGGCCAGTGTCGTCTTCCCATCCATAGACACTGTGCCTGCCTGTTTACTTAGATCTCCTCTAGTTTTAGTGATGTTTTATAGTTTGAAGAATAAGTTTTGCATTTTTGTTAAATTTATTCCTAAGTACTTTATTCTTTTGGTGTTATTTAAGCAGAATTTTGTTAATTTTATCTTCTGATTGTTCACTGATAGTATGTAGACATACGACTGATTTTTGGATAGTGGAACCTTGCTGAATTTTTTATTAAATCTGATCATCTTTTGGTGGATTCCTTTCGATTTCCTACATACAAGGCCATGCCATCTTCAGAGAGAGAGCTTCACTTCTCCCTTTTTCTCGCCTAATTGCCGTGGCTAGGACAGACTCGTTCCTGATTTCATCTTTCACTATTGAGGACAGTCATGGCCACATGTGTTCATTTGGTCAGCAGTGGGCTGCACGTACGACAGTGGCCCCATAGATCATAATGGAGCTGAACTTCCTATAAGAAATGGAAGGGCATGTGGTTCAGAAGAAATTATTTTTTTCTCTGATGGGAGCAGCATCTGTGGGGCTTGGCAAGATCCACTCTCACAGCACCTCAATTCTGAGTGCACGGATTATATCTGATCAGGCAGCCACAGGCCTGTGTGTGCATAGAGGAGCCTGATCCCCAGGATGCCAGGTCCACCCAGACCCCTCACAGCAGGCGCTGGCTTGTTCCCAGCTGTGCTGAATGACTAGGTGGGACTTTGTGCCTGTTGGTGTGTCAGGTCCCCTGGGAGGGAGGGATTGACAGGGCTGGAGCACCAACCTTGGGGAGCCTTGCCCTGGCGAGCCCCTCTGCCTCTGCTAGTGCCTACCTCTCAGGCTCATCCAGGCCAGGACTTCTGTCCTTTACACCTTCACTCCCCACCCAGCCCTGCCTGGCACCCTGGCC